CTTGATGCCTTTTAAAATTGCCTCGGTGGCTCGGTGCCCATCCATTTTAGAGAAAATTCAAGGCAATTTCTCACATGCCCCCAATTGCCTTGCGCCTCTTGTCACTTAATTCGAGGCCTGCCCGAACCTGAACCCTAACCCTAATCCTAATCCTAATCCTAACCCTAACCCTAACCCTAACCCTAATCCTAACCCTAACCCTAACCCTAACCCTAACCCTAACCCTAATCCTAACCCTAACCATATCAAATACTGACCAGGGTACGTTCTGAACTTCTGGTATACCGGACCGTACTCAGTGTACGTTCTGGCAGTACCCTGGGGGACATAGACCCTATGAGCAATACTAATAGTAATACACTGTAGACTAGTGGTGCACTTGTCACTGAATATAATCTCGTGAGACACGAGATCATCAGAGCAAGAATAGATATTCACACTCACATCACTGTCAGCAGTGTTGCTAACAGTAGCTCACCCCCAGTGAGGGACTGATAACTTTTAAACTGGCATCAAGTACAAACTGGCATCAAGTACTATATGCAACAAACAACAAATTTTTGAGATACATGACGACAGGCCTATAGCCTGTCGTCGTCATGTATCTCAAAAATGTGTTATAGACCTACATCCTAAACACTATAGTGCCAGTAAACACCAGGCAGTTCGATTCACTAGCACACGCTGTGCGTTTTTGCATCATGTGTCAGTGTTCACTATTACATAGAGATTATAGGCCTTGCTGCTGCTAATTAATGTAAAAACTTTGTGGATGATTGGATTGATGAGTTGTCCTCTCCTGCCTGTTTGTCTAAAGACTAAATGATGGTATATCAGGTTAATTATACCATAGTGCAAAAGTGTTTGCTGTAGTACCCAACTGTATAGTGTGTGTGTGCATGCACGATGTGACATAAATATTATGTGTGTGTCATGTATTGAATCAGTAGGCTAGCAATAATAATCCGATGTATATCTTGTTTCATTAAGCTTGTCGGAACTGGATGAAAACTATAAAGATGGGGGCATCACCGATAAGGTAGGTTTTGTGCTTCATTGCCAGGACTCGATCAGGATTGCTTAAATTCTTAGTTATCATGACAGGGTTCTCCCTACGTTGCGCAAACGGGGCGCGCGCGCCCCGTTTGGGAAAACTCCCCCCTGTTTGAATTTCATCCTGGGGAGAACCCTGCATGATCTACAAAGCAGTGTTCTTATTTCCTAGTTTCTTGTGCACAATTACTTCACTGCAAAAATCGTGTTAATTCCTAATTCATTACAGCTCCTAGGGCAGTGTTTAAAATTGCAATAGGATTTTCATCTGGGATAGTCAGATTTACAGTGCTCACTATAGTTTAATGACACGAGTGTGTATTTGTCAAGAAAATTGAAAGAAATTGAAACGACTGCACCAACATTTGCGTAATTTATCCTGCAGGGAGGGTAATCCGAAAAGATAGTGTTGCGAAAACTAGAGGTGATGTGCAAAAGGTGAAGGAGTAAAAGCAGCACATGGAATTTCCTAATTAACCTTCTTCAACTCCTTTCCTAAAATTATCAGGTTGATTTACACAGGGCTTGACTTACACAGGGTTTGGAACTCATGCCTGCCCGCTCGCCTGATCTTAGTAGGAATCCGTAAAGGCTAATAGCATGTCTTGGCTGAGTAGCCATGCTGGCATTGCCAGTAATACTCAAATCCATAGCTACTTTTTGTGAGACTGATTCCATCTGATTTAAGTATAAAATTTGTGTGTGCAAATTGATTAAAATTAAATCCCAGTAACAAAGTAACAAAGCCTCTGAATGCATCTCAGTCTAAAAAAAAAATTCTGGGAGCCCCCCCTCCTCCCCCACAGACCCACCCACTCATACTTTCCTCCTATGCGCAGCTAACTGCACGCCATAGCGCTTCAGCACCACAGTGACCACACTCTAGAGAATTGCAGGCTTGTAGATTTTTCAGGTCACCAGCCCCATTGGCTAATGAAGCTTGATTGAAAGTTTAGGTGAGCTTCAAACCCTGCGTACAAAAATAATCAGTGAGTTAGCAATCGAGTGGTGTCGCATTGACAGCACTGTAGGAGGCGATCTGATCACGTAGGCATTAGTTGGATAGGTTCCCAAATTTATGTTCTCAGCAGTGTGTGGACTGAACATTGACAGAATATTCCTTTCCATTATTGTTTCTTTCAATGAATGATTTCTTTAGGAAGTTTGAAACACCTTGCAAATGAGTCAGAGTATGTGTTGTTATTCTTGCTAGTGGTTTCAGGTAATCACAATCATACGGTGACTATAGCCACTTTTACCATATTTCGTCATGTACACTATGAATATGTAATCAGCAATTTTATATAAATAAACTACCTCTAATTAAAATTTGCATTTTATTCCCTACAAATTTATTTATTAGCATCATTAAAATGTGTTTCAGAAACGTGCTATTTAAGTTGCCAATGTGCAATTAACAAATATCTATTTAACGTCTTTCATTTAATTTTTTCACTTGCGAGAATTGTTACCACTGGTGTAGTTACTGGCTGTTGTTGTCACTCCATCAAATATATGTTTATTTATGCAGTATCCCAAAACTCCATTATAAAATCTATATGGTATCTTTCATTGCATATTTAAAGTGTCTACGTCACTAATCTCGTGAAATTTATAGTTGAAACCTTATTTTTGTAATTTTTTTACATCAAAAGTTACTAACGTTACTAAATATATCCTCAAACTCTCACCTGATAAAAATGTTTTTACATTGGTTAAATTTGAAAAAATCTTGACGATTTGAATTAGTGTTATTAACACTATTTACCCAGTACTGTACAGATACTGGCGTCTCTCGGTTGCTGCACTGGTTGCTGTGGTCGATGTCATCGTGATTTGTGTATGGTGCACAAAGTGGTGCCCAAACAGTTTCTGTTTTTATTTGTGTTAGCTATATAGAATATAGAATATAGGAAAAGTAAATAATATATCATTATGTTCATGTGTACAGTATTATGTTTGAAAAATTTTTATTAAAACTGCGAAATGTTATTTGTGAATTAATTTCGCGAGTGCCTAGTTTCCCGCAAATGTTCACCTATCGGCTAGCTGCGTGTGGGCGCTACGCAAGAGCTTATCGAAAATGGCGGTTGTGTTCAAGTCGAGCGTTTGTGCATCGAATGCACCGGCAAATTAGGGCGTATAATGAAGGTATATAAGCATGAAAAGTAAACAGAAACACTAATTGTATTTTCACACATTTTATTTTGCACAAATAACACACAAATATACTACTTGCTGGTGCTCGAAATTTGTGACGTACACAGTTTAAGGCTTATTGATACCATTTAGTATTGTTTTTTTCATAATACAACCATGGTCATTGTAAATAAGTTTTCTGATTTATTTAGGAGATAATATAAATTATCTAGATATTATATTTAGATGATTCTTTTAATCATTTTAAACCCACTTCATTGCAACTATGCATTATTTTAATGAAAATTGAAATGGCTTCTTATTAAAATTACCAAATTTGCATTTTTTCAACATTTAGAATTTCTGGAAAAGCCGTGTTGCCTTAATGTTTGAGCATCTTCCCATATCTACACAGAAAGATCTACAAAATCTGGAGCAGGAACTGCAAGAAGAGGAGATACCAGTGGTATGTTTTTTGATATTTCTAAAGTTAGCACAATCAGGGGTTATATGGGTCCTGGTAAAACAGGGAAAGTACTGGAATTTTAATGCCATTTTTCATGCCTGGAAAATCCTGGATAATGAGCTATGATCCTGGAACATCCTTGAAATAGACCATTATTCATGTATTTGGTCCTAGAAAGTTAGCAATGAATATTTCCTAACTGTATGAGAGAATAACATTTTCTTCACGCAACCATTTGTTCACCAATTGTTAATTGGATGATACAAGGCAGAAATATTTTATTCGGCTAAATTAAAATTATAAACCTAGTAATGAAATTGTAAGTCCTAAAAACTGGAAAAATTGCTTATCTTTGGTTGTACAAACCTTTACAATGCTAAAAAGCACCTTGTTTTTAACATTAACATTCGGTTTCATTAGGTTTGCACATACATGAATCGTTCTTATCCTCCCAGCATCTTATATCTTCTGTTATTTTCTATACTATTATATAGACATAATGTATACATTACTTTGGTGGTAACTGGCCCATATGGACACATCTGCAGGGTTCGAAATCCTAACGGGCCTGATGCCCGTATTTTAAGGTTCGGGCCTGCATTTCTAATACTAGCAGGCCTGACGGGCCCGTAGAAAATCCCCCCCCCCCCCGGCATCCAACTAGCAGCATGCACTAGTGATCTCAGCGCCGGATTCAAGAAGAAATGCGTACGCACAAGTGTGTACGCAGAAAATTTACAACACCTTACGCACAACTTTAGTTGGCATTCAAGAAACGTGCGTGGGATGTTCGGACGCACAGTGCAGCGTTGGCATACCAAAAATCGATAAATGGTTTTATACAAACGTTACGTACAGTAACGCTGAGAGGGTCTATGTCCTCTAGGGTACGTTCCTCCCTGGGGTACTGCCGGAACGTACCCTGGGTACGGTCCGCTATACCGGAACGTACCCTGCAGGGTTCTCCCTACGTTGCGCAAATGGGGCGCGCGCGCGCCCTGTTTGGAAAAACTCCCCCCTGTTTCAATCGTTGCGAATGTCTGTTTAAATTACCTACGCCCCGATTAAATTCCACCACAATAAAAGTTTGCCAGCGCGCGACCGTCAAGAAGTACTATTCGACCAGGACACCCGGCGTGTGTATTTTTACAGTACCACGCATGCACTACAGACAATACAACAGTCAACCTGTCCCACACCTAACACTAACTGTACACCAAAGATCGTAGAGTGAACAAGATAAACCACTCATGCGAAATCACGTGCAATGACGTGTAGTACGCAATGGAGCGCCACGTCCGCCATTTTAGGAAGCAAAACCAGCTCCGCGTCTGTTTGATACATAGAAATAATATGGATAACCATGGTTAATATATATATGTATATTATAATATAATGTAATAGATAATATTTTTATGCCAATAGCTGTATCAAATCTCTCATTCAAGTGTACAAAAATCTAACAATGATTCATAATCGGATGTTACTATGTAGTATGTACACAGTGCAGTGCCAGCTAGTGGTGTAGGGAAGTGACTATACGCACGGCGGAGTTTAGAAGGGAGAAGGTGGTGGAGGAGGGGGAGAAGCTGGTGGAGAAGAAGGAGGGGATCGAGAAGCTGGTGGAGAGAGAGGAAGAGGAGGAGGGGGAGAAGGGAGCTGGTGGAGGAGGAGGGGGAGAAGGGAGAAGGGGAGAATTGTGTCGTAGCTACCGTCGCTTCTCCACCGAGCTTCTCCTTCTCCTGCCTCCTCCTTCTCTATCCACCTTCTCCCGCCTCCTTCCTCCCCTTCCTCCTCCACCAGGCTCCTACTTCTCACAACTCCGGTCACTCTCCACCTTTCCTTCTCTTCCCTTCTGCCGAAGACGTTCGCAGAATACCTCCTTCTGCAGAAATCGCACCAGCTTCTCCCCTCCTCCAACACCTCCCTTCCTCCTTCCTCCTCCCACCAGCTCTCCCTTTCTCCCTTCCTCGTTTTCTCCCCTCTCCTCTCTCCACCAGCTCTTGCTCCCCTCCTCTCCGTTCTCCATCAACACTCCTCTCTTCGGCTTCCCCCCTTCTCCACCCCTTCTCCTTCCCCTCCTCTTTCTTCCACCCTTCTTCGTCTTCCCACCAGCCTAATCCCTAGCCTCCCTGCCCTCCTGTTCTCCACCAGGCTCTTTTTTCTGTCCTTCTCCCCTTCTTCCTGTCTCTTCGGCATCCTACGCTCTCCACCCCTTCACCCTCCTCGCAGCCATCCTTCTCTCCCCTTCCCTCTTCTTCTCCCAGCGCAGCTCTCCGCTCCTCCCCTGTCTCCACCAGCTTCTCTCCTCTGTCTCCCTTCCTCATTCCTAGCTTATTGAGTCGGCCATACGCCAGCCGTGCGTATACGGCCATATTTCTGGAATTTCTCTTACCTCCACACGCCCGTGCGTATACTGTATAGTCGTCGCCAGCTGGTGTAGTGTCAGACAGTGAGCAAGTGGCACAGGCACTTCATTGGACCGTCTCAAACAAATAGATGGTCAAGAGACGAGCACTATACTGTCATCGTCATCTATAATTTCATACGTATTACATGCGCTTTCTCCTTTTACCTCATTTTCGCCTATTACTTTGCTCGATAACTCTGCTGTAAAATGCCGTCTCTCTGTTAAATGCCTCCATACTGCAACAACACAAGTAACTACATCGCACGTACGCCCTGTGCACAAACAACTGCCACTGGTAACTACATGTATGCACGAAGATTTGCACAACTTCTTTTGCACATGGCGATCTTCAGACAAAAAAACGCACATGTTTTCTCAACCTTTCCCGTAATTCTTGGGGATCCTGACAGGAAAGACCGAAGTCGCGGCTTACACTGACATTCTGCGCAATTTACAGCAGAACAGTAAGCCGAGGCTGACAGCACACAGCAGAGCAGTTGCTACAGGTAGCAGATACAGCAGCATCCGGGAACTTCGTGGTGAACTTCGTCTTCCTCATAAATGGCGGTTTGTGCGGACCCATGAACTAAACTACGCTATCGATTGGAGAGGTGGTTTAGTCTTCTGCCCTACGCGGACTATAGATCTTGCTGTAGCACCGACTCCCGCTGATGATCTTATATAGACAGAGTACGGCGGGCAATATACCGTTTATGGCGTCTGAGATAATTTACGCATTAATTAGTGGTAGCGGTAAAAAACACGCCCGCCCTAGCGTCTTCCCCCCCTCTCCCCTCCGTCTCCCTCGCCCCTTAACACCCTCAGCCTCCGCCCATGTTAAACTTACTGCTTATCCTGGGGAGAACCCTGTCCTGGTACTATCTAATATGCCAGACCGTACGTACCTCGCCTACTCCACTAACGAGTCTAGGGAGTCGCCTACGCCTACTTCCTAACCCGAACCCGAACTCTAACCCTAACCCTAACCCTAACCCTAACCATATCAAATAGTGACCAGGGTACGTTTTTGTTTACCGGACCGTACCCAAGGTACGTTCCGGCAGTACCCTGGGGGACATAGACCCTATGAGCTACAGTAACATGTATCTTGTTGCATGTAAAGATTTACATACTTTCCACACATTTTTCACTGTGAACAACAAAACATAATTTTCAGCTATATATATAGAAATTCTTAAAATGGATTTGGAAATGTTTTGTGAGATTTTATCAGAATATTGATAGACTCCAGATTTTATTGCAACAGATATCTGTGAACTACAATGACTGATATGCCTACTATGCCACCCTCTGCCTCCATTCAGGAACCTTTCCACGGTTGTGTCTAAAGACAAGCTCTCATAGCCATACGTAGTACCACGAGTCCTCCTTGGATAAGAAGAAACTTGCTTGTACTTTTCATACTTCTTTCTTCTTTTCAACTTTCCTACTAACTCGTTTCATATTATTGAAGACTTTTAAGGCATGCACCCTTTGACCTTCAGGTCAGTTCTTTTCTAAGTTACCAAAATTAAGTACCCAGTTCCTTGGTCTTTGACTTCCTTTACTTAACTGGCATTAGTAGTAGAAGTTAGCAGTTAGTGTGTGATGAAGATGTGAATTGGCTAACAACAAGTCTGCCTTGTCATTAGTTGCTAGCCAAGCTGTTGTGTGAAAAAGTGGCAAAAACAGTCCAGAACATTACTTATATATTCAATGTGTTATTTAACTAATTTTCATACATCATAACACCGTACAGCCGTACACACTTAATTGGCTTGTGTGCAAATATTTGCCTTACAATACGTGTATTAGCCTAGGTGGGCTTAGTGATGAGAATATATTGTCATAACAATGTTAGTTTCCATGATTATCTGATACTTTATGTATTATTGCTTTCTTATAGAAAGAATATTATAAAAATTTGAAGAAACTCATTGGTGTATGGCCACTACCAGATGAGAATGATCAAAAGACAAAAGCTGTTACAGAAGACATGAATGGCAACGGTGATTGTGAAAGAAGTAATGGAAATGTGGTACGTTTAATTACCAGATTATGTAAAACTTGCAGCTGGTTATTAAATAAAATGTGACTACAAGCATGATCGAATGTGTCTTGAAACGTCCGATGAGTGGTTTGAGAACATCATAATTTTTGTGGAATTCTTTATGTAGCAGATGGACGCAGACCACCCAAAAGCTCAAATTGAAGAAGATTGTGCTGATCATGGTCCGATGGAGGTTGAAGACTGCAAAGAAGCATCATCTGCACCAGTGAATGCTAAGAAGAGGCGGATTCAGAGAGGTAATAATCAAAGCAGTGATGACAGAAAAGGCAAGGACGAGAGGAGCACTAACAGGGAAGCCAAAGATAAAGACAATGAAGGAGGGATTGAGAAGAGAAAAACACGAAGTGCAGTGAAATCGCCATCCAACCAACCAAGCATCACATCGATGTTTAGTAGAATGTATGTTTAGCTTTTACAGTTTCTTGTGACATTTTTAGATGGTTCATAAATTTTTGATGATGTGTACCTGAATAGCAATGATGCTTTCATCTGTTTTACTTAACCATTGTTCAAAATATTATTATCACATCAAGTGTACTTTAATCCTGTGTGATTTGATGTTTTGTTCAGCTCAAATAAACGAAAATCAGAAGCAGAAGGTGGAGAGGAAAAAAACGAAAACATAGAAAAGAGAGTGAAACCAGTTGATGCAGAAATCATAGAGGAAAAAGAAGTCAAGATACCAAAAAATGGGTGAGTTTTATAACTCGCTTTACAGTTGTAAACTTAATGTGTCAGTAAGTCAAGTAAACTGACTGATTGTGAGTGAACTGCAGCGTTGTGCCTCGATCATAAAAGCCCCAATGGTCTTCTCTCTTTATTGCTTGATTGTCTCATAGCGAGATGCAGAATAGTTCCACGGAGCCTTTTTTGAAACCGGAGACAAAGTCGCTGCCTCAGAAATGCAAGCAGTGTCGGCAGTTATTGGATGACCCTGACCTGAATCTGTTCACTGGGGACCCTGATGACGCAGTATGTATGGAGAGGCATATTATCAGGAACTTGCATCGTTTAATCTCAGATCCATTGATAACGACTGCAGCTACATTAATTCAATAGTGGTTTTGAATGTTCGAAACGCAGTTAACTAACACATACTCCAATTTTAGCATACCAATTGTAAATGTTGATGACAGTGTCGATGTAATTAAAGTGCATTACTATTTATCCTTGACCTAAAACGAAAAAATGTTTCCAGTTCAAAAGAATAAATGAATATTTTCTTTCATTGTGTTTGCTAAAAATGAATTGATGATGTGAGTGATTAGCTTTGCTAAAGATAAGACAGAATTTTGTAATTTAGAAGTTTTTTCACTGTGATCAATGTTAGGTTGAAGAGTTTGTGGCACTGACAGATGAACGATTGTCACTATTTACTGGGAACGAGGAAACCATATCAGAGTATGATGAGAGACCTCAACACAAGCTGACTGAGTTCAGGTATGTTATGTCTACCAAGTACCATGGAATCATTTTTAAACAAATGATAGCTAACACTTCAAAAGTCTCTATCTCCACTTTTAGTTTTCTAGCGTGACCAGTGAGTTCTTATTATAATCAACCTACATTTGAAAAGAACGAGAGAAGAATGGAGATGTTATAATCTATTGTCATTTTTTGTAGTCCAGAGAAACTCGGCTTTACTAAATTGAGGCCTATAGCAACTGTGCAGTTGCTTTTGGTAAAAACTAATCGGTTCTAATAGCCCCGGGTATTTATTAATAAAAAGGCGGGTATCTTCACTAATATATAGTTATTAAAATACCTGCCAGTTATTAAATATATGTGATGAGAATATTACGTGGAGTCCAGAGTTCATTCTCCATTGCCAAGAAAATAACAATGACTGGAACATTATTTTTTTGTGATAGGTTAACATGATTCAGAAATGCCTATTTGTTAGTTGTTGACCTCTTTTTAATGGCTTGCAGTGTTTATGACAAGAACACACATCTGTGTCCATTTGATTCCGGCCTTATTGAGAAAAATGTTGAGCTGCTATTCAGTGGTTATATTAAACCAATTTATGATGAGTCACCAGCAGTAGAAGGTAAATACACTGATTTATGTTTTAGTGATAGTCACTAAATGGGGTTCTTTAAAGCCATTTGAGTAGTCTTTATTTACTAAACTTGTTTCTATTGAAAACAGCATATGTTAATGATGTATATAAGTCGTATGACCAGTAGCAATGGCAACCTTTGCTATGCTGTAAATAATAAGAGAGCAAAATGAAATCTTATCATTCTTCTTACTACTGGTGTGTTCTCGCTCCATGTCATGCCTTCACATTTCAGGAGGCATCAGCACACGTAACATGGGCCCAATCAATGAGTGGTGGACGGCCGGGTTTGATGGAGGAGAGAATGCTCTCATCGGATTCTCCACGGGTGAGACAAACTGACAAACAAAATGAGGTCGCAACTGAAGTCATCGACACAGATTACTAGATGCTGGTTATGATACCATGATGGTCCTGGAATTATTTGCTTTGGAATTTCTGTATTATTGTCGTTAATTATCTGCATGGGTAAGAATAGGACTCTTGTTCATCTATTTCTTCCATATCAAAGTAAAGGTTATAATGACAAATAACAAGTTATAATCTTATCAGGAGTGAATAATAGAAATCTCTATTATTCACTCCTGATCTTATTGATATGCTTGATGTACTTAGATAGCATATTTATTGTTAAATTGTCTTTTGTTTACCTTTATTTTTTCAGCATTTGCTGATTACATCTTAATGCAGCCCAGTGAAGCTTACGCACCTTACATAGATGCTGTAAAAGAGAAGATCCACCTGAGCAAGTGTGTAATTGAATTTCAAGTAAATAATATGGATGCAACATATGAAGACCTGCTCAATAAAATACAGGTAGCTGAAAAGTACTCGGTTACATTTGATAATTATATCATCTGTATTCTCATACTATTTTATTTATTTTGAATTCTTTAATTCTCATTCCAGGGAACTAGAACTAAATGTTTTCTATTTCGAACGGATTAATTCGATTTGGACTGGAACCAGGTTTTCACATTGTTCACTATATCTATTTTGTACTATTGACTGCACATCTATATAGCTGTAATATTTTGTTATGATTTTTCTTCGTTTATGCATTTTACATGGTGTTATTTTTCTTGGCAGACGACAGTACCACCTGCTGGAAAGACTAGCTTCACTGAGGATTCTTTACTTCGACATTCACAGTTTGTTATTGATCAGGTACTGTACAGAGTTGTGACCTGTTTACTAAAGATTAATTTTGAGTTAATTAAGATTTTGTTTACTTAAGATTAATTTAAATTAGTAGGGATACTATATGATTATTTTTAAGAAAAATGTTTTGTTCCTAAAATCGTAAGTGACTTTCAGTGATTCATATATCCTGCAGAAGATGTACAGTAAAACCTGTGTTAGAGGCCAACTTTATAAAACTACCTCTATAGAATGGCCATCTGCCCATTAAAGGCATAATTCGACCATCGATTATGCAATTTTAACGAATGCTACAGTAACTGGCACCTTGTGTAGTTAATAAGTACATTACCTTATAGCCAAACGCGTATTAGTTTGTCCAATATCACTGCTGGTTACTAAGAAATGTCTAATTGAAATCCGCAGTCCAAGAAATCGGTTGTTGACAGTTACAAACCGCCATGCCGGCCGTAACCGGCCGTAACTGGCGAGGCGGTGTCATACAGATTATAGTGCACCGGACATTTTCGCACGTATGCTCGGCCGTCAGTGATTTCGATCCTTGTAGTCTGAGTGCGCATTCCGTACGTTATGGTTTTACTCTTGGGATTCGGGAATAAATGAATATACGTTCTTGAGATTACAAGCAACATATAATATGTGGCAACTAGGCAAATAATAACACTAGGCAAACAATTTACCCGGGACAAACAATTCGATGCTCAACATCCTGTAGCAACATGTGACGTCACCGAACCGAACTCGATGTTTATTTTGTTGGCCATAAATTTCGCGTTGTCGCCAGATTACCAAATTTACGGATTTCAATTAGACATTTCTTAGTAATTAGCAGTGATATTGGACAAACTAATACGCGTTTGGCTATAAGGTAATGTACTTATTAACTACACAAGGTGCCAGTTACTGTAGCATTCGTCAACTTTGCATAATCGATGGTCGAATTATGCCTTTAAGGCCACGTGCTGTTTATCATACGTAATCATTATGCATGTTATGTGCAGGTTTGACTGTATTATTGTTACTTTTTGTAGGTTCAGAGCTACGATGATGCGGCAGAAGAAGACGAAAGCTTGCTGATCACCACACCATGCATGCGCTCACTCATTAAACTTGCTGGTCTCACTCTTGGTAATAGGTGAGCAATTCCCATTGGTGTATTGAGTTAGCCATGCATTTATAGATAGTAAGATGTCTTGCCAAGCCAATGAGTAGTGAATATATTATATTTATTCTGCATGGTTGCTTTTTTAATAGGCGTGTTGGTCGTCGAGGTGGCATCAGAAAAGAGGCAAAGAAGATGGCTGGACCAACGAAGGCGCAGACGACTCCACTCGTCACCCAGGTTTTCGAGTTGCTGTTCAAGGGACAGATCGATGAAGGAAAGGCGGCCAAAGCTCCAAAAAGGAGAAGATGTGGTGTTTGTGAGGTGCATTACTGATTCACTAAACTAGATATTTTGCATTGCTGCTATGGGGGTGGGCTAGGAATTTAGTGTTGGAAAACAAATCTTTCAATATGCTTTGGTGGCCTGCTTCAAAATTCTGCATCGAAAATTGACTCTAATCTGTACCTATGTTTGTAATACTAGGTTTGTATTATTCATAGCAAAAATAATTACCATGCTCAAAATAAAACTACAAATTTGCTTTAGTTGATACACATGTTGCCTTTGCAAAATAGTTTGGTAATATTATGCTTCACCATGTTCTAACTTAATAACAATCATTTTACCTGTTTTCAGATCTGTCAACTGCCAGACTGTGGCAAGTGTACTGCTTGTAAGGATAAGACTAAATTTGGTGGATCAGGGAAATTGAAGCAAGCCTGTGATAAGAGAAAGTATGTACTGCTGGTTAACACAATATTTGTTCTAATTATAAAGTATAATTGCACAGAAGGGCATCAAATGGATAAATTTGTGACATGATGGGCATCCTCCTCCTACTGCGAATGATGGGAGCTATAGAAGAAAGGAGATTGTAATCAAAGCAAGCGAAATGCCTGAAGGCATTACTTGGATCCGCCACCTTTGCATGTGGAATGACCAATAGTGAAACAAAAGTCATTGGTAGTGGTAATCTTGCCTTCATCGATATTGGCATCATTGACATTAATGTTGTTGTTGTTGTTGTTGTTGTTGTTGTTGTTGTTGTTGTTGTTGTTGTTGTTGTTGTTGTTATCTACTGTTGCTACTGCTGCTTTTTTGTTGTCCTGGTTATTCTTATACCCATAGTAGTAGTAGTAGCCTGCGAGATTATCTGAATTAACCAATCGCATCTGTTGTCTTTAGTTGCCCTAATAGTGCTGTCATGGAGGCAGAAGATAATGAACTGGACTTGGAGATGGACAATGAAGATGCCATGGATAAAAAAGCTCAAACCATTCAACGAACCCCTACAAAGAAGAAATGTCACCAGAAACAGAAGGTATTCTAGATTGAACATTCTAGCTCTCTTGAGGCAGTCCATATACCCTTATTCCTCAATGAGCAACATTGATTCATGTAAAACCTTTTATATATCTTGCATTGTGCAGTATGTCATTGAATGTTCTCCCCCTGCCCTCTGCCCCTAATGTAGCATTTTTATTTTCATTCTTTAAAGTTTTTTGTGAAATGTCTGTGATCCAATCACATCCAGTCAATTAGTAGTAGTGACGAACCTATAGCTTTGCCCGTGATCTTTGAGGGTCATAATAAGTGTCGTTTTGGGAACAACAGACTAACTTATTCACTGTAAGTACTAACCACTACATATATATAGTCGTTCGTGTTTTAGTACATATTATTCACTCCCAACATGTACATATGGTTAATCCAGTGTCAAAAATCAATCCAGATGTTCTAATTACAACGATGATGTGCAGTTCATAAATGAGCAAAATCATTGCAGATAACCCAATTTCAACAAATGACAACCAGAGGTTTTTAGTTAGTTTGTGTATTGCTAGACTTGCTTATAGTTAGATCATTTTCAGGAACCCATTCATTATTATTAATTGTATACGAGCCTGCAATGTCATACTTTTATTCAGGAGAACAAGTCTTAACTTGCTTGCTTGCTAACTTAGTTATGATTGGGGATATATAAGCCCTAACTATCATTACTCGCAAAATACTGTCACAGGGTGCGAAATTAACGCGAGTCCGGAGTCAAATACTCCCTGATTTTCTGTCGGACTCCTTAATTTGACATATATCAGGGAGTTTTACTTACGTGTACCACTGTGCGTGGTGGAAGTGCGTGGTACCATTAGAATCTTCCCACATATAAGCCACCTTGGCGATGTAGAGGGAGTTGTCAGGCACGTCTGGAGAGACTAGCACACAGTCGCCTACAGCCACCTATTGTGATACGTTAGAGACTTAGTCACTAGTATACAGTCACTACTCCTGCAAACCGTAACGTATTAACAACGTAAAACGAAACGTACGAACTCCCTGAAAATTCTGCTATACTAACTAGTTCGTTCCAGAGCACTGCCTCACGGAATTGCCGTATTTTTCCAGCAAATGTCCAAAGACAATTTGGCAGACGTGCAACCACATGAATCTTCAAAATAAGCACACGCGTTATTGTTAATATCTTTAGTTTTGAACTGCAGACTGCGGACTCCCTCATTTTGCTGCGGATTCCCTCTTTTTGAGGGCAGGGAGTCCATTGGACTCCCTTGTTCAAAAGTTAATTTCTACCCCTGCTGTCAGCACTAATACGCACATTGTAACTCATTGTAATTCTAATTAGCAATACCACAACTGTTCACACACAAAAAAAAACATCTCAAATAATACCCGGGATATACTAATTCAATATACACACCATTTTATATTCTGTAGCATTATGCAAACTAGCGCAAGAAAATACTTGGCGTGATCCAATTCCTTGAGTTCTATGAAGGTTCTCCCTTCATTTTCACCTGGGTGAGATTGTTCACTGGTAGCTGTCAGCTGCCTCATGCAGCTGCTCAATCGGTGCACAACTTTTTCATTCCTGAGCTCAACCTATTTTGCCCAACTACTCTAAACCCGAGGCTTGCTGGTGTCTGTGCTCTTCTACGAATTTTGTCATGTGTTGGCAGTTCCGTCTAGTCTCACTTGACTCCACGGTATCCTTAAAATCAATGAATATATTCTAATATTTTATTGTGACTTATACTTATTATTTGTAGCTAGTAATTTTGAAACACAATCTTATTAGGTAAGAGTTTGGTGATATATTTAGTTGCTGTTAGTAATTTCTTTTTACTTATAAGTTATAGTAATGCAAAAAATGTTTTTAATATTTTCATTTATTTGCCGGTATCTGTCTTGTCGTGAATATATGATCAAAGTCATACTTGTATACATCACACTGTCATTGACTAATTTCTTCCCACTGACCATGTATATAGACTACACTGAAGTGGATTGGAGATGAGAGGATAGAAGGAAGGAGGAAATATTATTCATCTGTCAAGATCAATGAGGAAGAGGTAAATTTTAATATTGTGGTATATTGGGTGAAAGATTAGGATATATTTGCACTGTTATATTTCAACCTTATTGTGAAAGGGTTATCACAAAGAATTGTTAATACATTTCGTTTTACATTGTTAATACGTTACGGTTTGCAGGAGTAGTGACTGTATACTAGTGACTAAGTCTCTAACCTATCCCAATAGGTGGCTGTAGGTGACTGTGTGCTAGTCTCTCCAGACGTGCCTGACAACCCCCTCTACATTGCCAAGGTGGCTTATATGTGGGAAGATTCCAATGGTACCAAGCACTTCCACGCACAGTGGTACACGTAAGTACAACTCTAGGAATGACATGCAAACCAAGATTTTTGGTTGTACTTATATGTTTAATTCTTTATATGTTAATAGTCTTAACATTTCATTTACCTGCCACTTGTACTCTAATATATATGGAAGCGTTAATAGATACATATAGCTATTCATTTGATTTTCTTTTACAACAAATATACGAGTGTAAGTGAACGTTTCTATGCCTTATTTACGTTGCTGTGATATATTCGTCTCATATGTGCATGTCTGAAACAGTGCCATATCAATTTGCAGCCGAGGTGGAGAGACTGTTCTAGGTGAGACAGCCGATCCCAACGAGGTATTCATGGTTGATGAATGCGAGGACACGTGTCTGGAGTTTGTTGTTAGTAAATGTAATGTAAGTATGTTGATCGATCAGCACTAATTTCTTTCATTTATTAATCTATATTACTTATTTAATTTCATGTCGCAAATAGTGCCAGCATGTAGGAAAGTTAGGTGATTCACTCGGTCACTGTTTTTTACAACATTCTTGTGTTGTCATATTCAACCATTTAAACAATAATTATAAATTATACTTTCGTTATTTATGTTGGTGAGACACTACTCACAACAGGACCATGCGTCATAACCCAATAAATTGTATTCAAATACATAGTGAATGATAAATTGACCATTGTTACCTGCAATTTTGGTTATGGACCCAAAACCTAATAATTTAGTTTTTCCATTAGCTTATGATTGTAATTAATTTACTATAACTTATGATATAAAGCTGGTGGAGTGAAAGGCACGAAAAAGGCAGTGGCCAGTTTGAGGAATCTGGGAAAAAGTAGGGATGGATAAATTTCTTAGGTCAAAATTCGATATTTAATTAGACATAATTTCATATCAAAAACAAAAGATGTAATTGTGTTTGCAGCGCTATGTTTGAATTCAATTGCCATGAAACGAGAGGATGTTGCTGGAATTCTGTTCAATTCCTCTTTTTAGCCAATAACAACAAATTCTCTTTAATTTTCAAGCTAGTTTAATTAGTAATATATCTACTAATAGTAATGAATAAATATCTAATTCTATAATAGATAACGATTGATAATATCTTAATGTTATAATTTCTTATGCAGGTAATTCATAAACTACCACCAAAAGACTGGCATATGCTAGGAGGCGAGGATGTGGATGCTGAAAATACATGGGAAGAAGATGGGAAGAACTACTTCTACAAACTCTGGTAAGATTTTCTTGTTTTCAACTCGTCTGATGTGGTTAGATCAAGTTAGTGCAATCACTGAAGTGTTTATCTCTCCGGCATCACACTTTCTCAGTATCTCACTAACACTCCTTTGCTCAAGCTAGTGATTGGGTTGTCGTTACTGGTTGTAGTTACCATTTTATTTACTCACCAGTCAGTCAGAGTTTTGGTCGTTGATGCGACCATTTTAGTTGCCAAAGCATGTATTTGCACATCGCGTTTGAAATGTGTCTATCGATGACAGGTATGACCCTGAGATGGCAAGGTTTGAAGATCCTCCCGATGCAACTGCACCTTCAAATGACCCCAAATTTTGCATATGCTGTGCCCGTACTGATGAGGTCAATCAGGTATCAGTTATTTAATTCTAGTTCCTAAAGTCTGACTGTTGCTTTTGGTCAATCAACGTAGCAGAAATCAGTATACATGAATAGATGTATAGTTAAGTCCGTAGGTGCTAACATGGTGGTAATTCGACTATCTCATTGCGGTAAAATTGTTAGTTAAATGTGTTATAGTTGACACATATCACTACTGTACAGCCAGTTGCAGTCAATGTCAAAAATTAATATAATTGCTGATAGAGAAAATTTAATTCAGCTGTTGTCTAGTTTCTCATAGCAGTAGTGTAAGTTCTTGCTTTTAAGCATTCACATGTGCTGTCTTTCAGAGGGAGTCATGTCAGAAGGGCACGCAGTTGCAGGAACAGCCTTCAGACGGCAGAACATCGTATTCGATGGTGAAGAGAGATGGACTTGAGTACATGGTGGGAGACTGTGTGTTTTTAATTCCGGAAGCTTTCAGCTTTGCTGTTAATCCTGCTAGCCAACCGAAAAAGAAGTACAAGAATAATGAGGCAGCTGTAAGTTGTTCATTGTTGTTCACGGTTTGAAAAATACATTGGCCGCTACTTAAAATGTCATATATTGACTTAGCAGACTTACTATAATATATCTCAACATATCATTCTTATGTTATAGGTGTGTACTACCGTGACCCTGGAAAGGTTTTCTTAATCAACTATTTATAACCTTTATGATATCTACGTGTGTGTGTGCGTGCATGCCTGCGTGCGTGTGATTATTAGCTCATCTGACATAGTCAGATGCAGCTTGTAGAATCGCATGATCGTCCGTCCGTGCGAGCGTCCGTCCGTCCGTCCGTCCGTCAACAGTTGGGCACAAATCTTAACCGCTCGACGTACGGTCACGATATTTGGGGACGGGGGGGATCGTCAAAACGAAGTTGGATAGGGCCGAGCTAGCGGGCAAGGCTCTTCAAAGGTTATAGAAGGTGTATAAAAGAAGGGGGAAACATTCAATCTTAACTTAAGCATATAGGAAGGAAAATGGCAGAATTGCTGCGCCAAATCTAAAACATGGCTCTTACCTAGGCTCGTGATGTTGGATGTATGCATCATGGTAGAAAGCCATCACTTGGCCGAAATTGAGACTGGTCATAGTGGTCAAGTTCAATGGGCACTAGGGAGATTTTAGAATTTTCTTAGATTGGACATGGCTCTGACGGAGCGATTGACAAGACTTTTTCTGTTCAGCAGTGATTAAGCTTTTTAATTGGCATTATTGTGAAAGGACATAATATATTTTGCTGAATGCGAAGCAGTTAAGCTGTAAGATTACCCTTTTGGACCTCAAGAGGAGGGTTTAACATGGATTTTGTCGACTGTATGTTAGAAAGAATTTGAATGCCGGGTTGAGCAGTAGAAGGCTATAACATGCCTGGATTATTTGAGGCTACATGTCCAGTGAAATATTCAAGCTAATTTGGTTAAGGTTGCTCCTTAAATCGTCATATTTGTTATGGCATTCTGTAACTGTCAGTATGTTTACATGTACCGTATGCACTGCCAGTGCATTGTGTTGGTGGTACTGTGTAGTTTTTGCCTGCATTAATTGGTTACAGGTGCAGCTCTCTATTGCCAGCTGTAGGGCTTTGCGTAACGGTAAAATGGCATGAGTGCTTACATATTTCCCTGTCTGTTGCAATAGTTGCTTAGCTGACTACGTACGAATGGAGCTTGCATCTTTAATCTGAAGCACTTTAAACGTACGCGCCATCTCGTGGCAACTTTCATAACGATCCCAACGAACGTTCCTTTGAGAAGGTTCCTGATACCATCCCTGTGCATTCCACTGTTTCGGCGTGTATGTGAACACATTTGGGACTAATAGGGTTTACTAGAATCCCACCACTCCACCACAGAGTCACCGCAGTAGACGTTAGATGAGCGCTGTCGCTCCGCGGCACTTGTTATTATTATCATTATTACTATTATTATTAAACTTTTTGATTAAAAAATCTATCTGCTTGTCCTAGCTCCTAACACATGTGTTAAAATTTCCATTGCATCAGGATGATGAGGAACTCTACCCCGAGTACTACCGCAAGGGTGGCTATGTAAAGGGCAGCAATAGTGACATTCCAGAACCCTTTCGCATTGGCAGGATTGTAGAGATTTACTGCCCAAAAAAGATCTTTAATGGTGATGACGTCCGCCTAAAAATCCAAAAGTTCTACAGGTAAAAACGAATTTTCCTATGGTATGTAACTGAATAGTGAGGGTAGTTAAGACCAAGAACCAAGTTCTGTCTGAATGTTGCTATAGCTTATGCATTCTTGTGGTGTTACGGTAATACTAGAGCGTCCTGGCACGCTGGCTGACACAGGTTGATTGTTTATTGGTGGTGTTGTTGGTAGGGCAGGCAGGCAGGGGTCGAAATTAGCGGTATCCCGATATCCGCGGGATAGTAGATTCTTGTGTTGGATACCAGATTTCAATGCTTGGTATCCCGCTGGGATAGTAAAAAAAAAATCATTAAAATCGGGATAGTGGTTGTTGAGTATATTTGCAAGCGTAATGGCCCAGTCACACGTACACGACGCAAGGCCCGCGCACTGAAAAATTAGCAATTTTGGCCAGTGCGTTGTCTTTCGCTGGGTGTGCGTCAGCATTCGTTACTCGTTTGTCGAGCGCGCTGGACCAACGCTATGCATTCGTTGTCATTCGCTGTGTGCGTCAGGATTTTTGTGCATGCACAAAAATGTGCGCGGAGCTCGACGCATGAATGTACACGCCAGAAGGACGCCAGACACGCGCAGAGCGCGCTGGACCAATGCCATGCAGACACACGCGGAGCACACGCTGGGTATTCGTTGTCTGTTCGTCGGCTGAGGTGTAGCGAACACCTAGCGCACACCTAGCGCACATCTAGCGCACACCTAGCGCACATCTAGCGCACACCTAGCGTGCTTCTAACGCATGTCCAGCGAACATGCAGCGAATATGGGCGTGCTGAACGAGTGCTGAACGAGTCTGTAGCGCGCCCAGCGTTCTTCTAGCGTGTTCCTAGCGTGTACGCAGCATGTAGCCATGGGGTATATAAACGGGTCCCGCCCCCACCTCCTCATCATCACTTCTCCTCCGACCCTCGTGGGTGATGACAGAGGTCCCTGATGATCGTGTATAGAAGAACCACCTCAGAAGATGGAGGATCCCGACAGGATGCGACTACAATACGAAATCGCGGTTCTCCAACATCAGCAGAACCTCATGGAACTGGCACTAGCTTCACCAAGTCCATGTCATCAGGAGAATGAGAAAGAGAAGAGGTCAACGGAGGTTCTGGGTCCGACCGTGGATCGGTAGGTGACGACAGTTTGACCTGTATGACCAGCTACTTGTTGAACTCCGTAACGAAGACCAGGCAGCCTTCAAGACCTTCATGCGGATGCCCCCCGAGATGTTCGACGAGCTGCTAACCAGAATGGGTCCGAGGATCACCAAGCAGAATACAACCTACAGAGAGCCCCTCGACCCTGGCCTGAAGCTTGCACTCACTCTGCGGCATCTTGCCTCTGGGACCAAGTATCACTCAATGTTTTATGGGTGGAGGGTGCCTCACAACACCATATCCCTTATCATGACCTGTTCGTTTGCTGACCTGACCGTTCGCTGGTTGTGCGTTGAATGCGCGGTGCATGCGCGGACCATTCGTTCCGTGCGCTAGCAACACGCTGTGCATTCGTTGGATTTTTTAACATGTGCGCCCTGTATACGCGCAGCGCGCTAGCAACACGCTGTGCATTCGTTGGATTTTTTAACATGTGCGCCCTAACGCTCTGTATGCGCCCTGTATACGCGCAGCGCGCTAGCAACACGCTGTGCATTCGTTATCAACTCGCTAGCTTCTCCCAAATCCTGACAAAAGTTGGGCGCACAACGACGCACTGATCTTATTTTCCATTTTTTTATTAATTTTCAATGCGCGTCGCGTATATGTCAGGGTTCAACATTAACTTTTTATTTCACTAGACCATCGGGCTAGTAACTGAGGAAACCCACTAGCCCTGACCTAACTTTCACTAGCCCAGACCCAGACCATTGTTATGAAAAACTTTATTTAGATAAGAGTGTGTCATCGTATGAATTCATAGATGCTGTTTCCCGCGCTTTAAATCGCGCGTGGGCCGAGTTCACGTGCATTATTCGTATTCTACCACGGGCATACACGAGCGCACGGTTTATCGATCGTCTACTGTGGCTGGCAGCAAGCCGCGTTATTGTTTTTGTCGAAGGGTAGACTGGTATCCGGTCTCACGCTCTGCTAGACAATGTACACGCTTTGCGACAAACAATGCGGCCGCGAACCAGTCTAGCCAGAAGTGACCTTTCAGTGCAATATATATGACCAATTCTAACACGACCAGTTGGGCTACTAGCACTCTGGTTGTATGCGACCGGACCAAGCATTTACCCGACTAGGTCGGTCGGACGTGGGTTAGTGTCGAACCTTGCGTATGTGTCACTGGGCCATAAAGCCCGGCGCACAAGTGTCGATTTTTATCGACAGTACCGGCGATTTTTATCGACAGCACTGTCGATAAAAATCGCCACGTGTGCGCCACCCGGCGACAATGCAACCATCTGTCAGCGACATACCACTGTATGAACTGTACGTGACCTGTTCAAACCACACCACGGGCGCTGCCATAATTTTGATCACGTGCTTCAAATCATGCATTTGATTGGTTAATCCAAAAACTGTTGCCTGAATCCGTCGCCTGGTCAGCGCACACGTAGCGATTTTTCAGCGACTGGGCAACAAATATCAAACATTTTGATATTCCAGCGACGAGTTTCTGGCGTCAAAATCGGTGACGCCGTGCAGCGCACACGTGGCGATTTCTCGGCGCCGGTAATGTCGATAAAAATCGCCACGTGTGCGCCGGGCTTAAGCGTAGCCGATGTTGATCATAAATGTGATGCAGTGCTCGAAATAAGAAAAAAAATGTGGTTGTCCTGCGGACAACCCCGGCATCAAATCGGGTTGTCCGCAACAATTTCTGGTTGTCCCAAAAAAAATCCCCAAATCTCCTATTTTCAATCACATAATAATATGGAGATGCGAGGAAAAACCGTCAAAACAGTGGCGACAGAGTTTTAACAAGGGGGCGCCAAAAACAGCGAAGCTGCACAAAATATTGGATGACTTACATATTTCACTGGCTCCTCGCCATCCTGGCTCCACGCCCTTACACGGCTCCCTACCTCTGCAGCTCTGGCAATCTTTGTTTGCTGGACGACCATTGCGAAAACGGCGGGCATTTTTGTTATGTAGTTTCTCTGGCCCAGTCAAATATGATATTTTGATTCACCTGCGTCTACTTCCAAGGAGGGGGTGAACAAAGCTGGCGGAATGCGGGGTAGGGCAGGGGTCTCCCCAGAAATATTTTGGAAACTTGGCTGTGCTCTCTGTTCCAATCGAGTTCACCTCTCATAAATCATAACAACACTGAACATATGATATTATACATGTTGGAAATAGCAGCTGGTCCCATAATTTTTATATTATCACGATTTAATTCACAACGATTAAGATTCTTGATGAGCATACTAGAAAACACTCGATTTGAAGTATGAAATGAACATTATTGTGGCCGAGCTAGCCTATACGTTAGGTTGCAGGGATATTGTCATTCAGATGCAAAATATTGAAAGCAAGAGGTTATACATCCATAGATTTAATTGGTACCAGCGTATATAAGATAGCCGAGTCGGTTAGGTTAGGTGTTAGGGTTAGAGATAGGGTTCTCTGGTTGTCCACCTGGACAGTGTCCTCAGAACATGGTTTAGGTGTCCGGCGCAAATTCCTGGTGCGTCGACAACCGGACAACGCTTATTTCAGCACTGTGATGTGTATACATTGTATCAAGCGAACCAGACAATGCGTCTAGACAATATGTCTGCAGTGTACTTGTCTGTGCATATCTGTGAATCTGTTTTCATGTTTTTATATAATAATTACATTACATATTAATAATTTTCAAATGCTATTATTGCATATTTCAAGATTTTGGATACCAACATTGTTGAAATTACTATCAAAAAAATGGGGTATCAGATCTTTGGGGGATACTAGATTTCAATACCTGGTATCCTGAATGGATACCATAATAAAAATCTAATTTCGACCCCTGTAGGGCACCGAATTTTATGCAGTATAACATGTATGCTATACATATACTAGGACAGGTTCTTTTAGTAAGATGTGAACCCCAAAGAAACTGGCCCTTTAAAATTATTATCTCTCAAATAAGTTGAAACATAAAAGCACATAGACAAATTAGGTCTCACCTATTTGCAGAGATTACTGATTACTCCAGTATAAAAAAAATACCGCAAGTTTGTTCTGTTATCGTTTATAAAATAATAAATAACACGGTCACTTTCTTCAATGCAAGTTTAATACCATTAACAAAGGTAATTAAATCCCATTTTACTTAATGAAAGGTAAAGTAGAAATCTGGTTAGAATGAATATTGGAGTTTAATTGTCATTAATGTTTCACCAGTTGCTTATAAGTTTCACATTGCTAATCATTGTTTTCTTCTACAGGCCAGAAAACACACACAAGGGAGTTGTTGCAGGTTACCAGGCTGACCTGAACATGGTGTACTGGAGCAATGAAAGTGAGTTGCAGTGTATGCATAAATAGCTAGGTTACTGTAATTTACAATATCATGAACACACCATGGATGCAGTAAAAACCTTAGAGGTCATTTAAACGTTTGAATTAAAAAAAGTTACCCTGTAATATATTTTTGTGTTTTTGTTCTTGTTCATATATGTATTTGTTTTCTCCCTTACAGTTGCAACAGTTGATATGAAAGATGTGGTAACGAAGTGTACAGTTGTTAATGCAGAAAATCTCACAGAACCATTGGCGAAGTACAGTAGGAACAGAGCAGACAGGTTCTACTTTCGAGAGGTCAGCTTTTAGCTTATTTGTTTTTACTTGTTTACCTGTGTAATTTCAACATTATCACTGATTTATTTGTATTGTTCAAAGGCTTGTAACGGTTAATCCATATATATAAGAAATGATTGCAATATTTCACTATAACTATTATTTTTGAGATTACATATTATGCCACATACTGATTCTCACAGTTCAATAGTAATTGCAAATTGAAATATTAGTAATTTAGTTCAAATAATTACTGTGTATGTGATGTGATATTCACACACAAAAACATAAGCAATAGTGCAGGTCATAAATAATTGCCAACAACTGCATGTATTGGCAATTTTTTCAAATTGTGTTTAATTGTGTCATTTATTTTAGTTATGTCTCAAGTGATTTAAGCAATAATATTTATTGCTCAATTCTGAAATCTGAAATCTTAATTCTGTTTGAAATTAATAGTGAAGGCTAAAAGTATTTCCTGTAAGGACATTTTAAGATCGTAGCTAGACATATATACATAAAGATACTCTGCGATTCCCATACATGTACAAATATTTGTTTCTGTAGGCATACAACCATGACACGAAAGAGTTTGAGGAGCCACCGTCTGAAGCATGGCTAATGGGTGCTAAAGGAAAGGTATCGGTGTTCTTTGTTGTCTTGAACTCTTCACACAGCTGCAAATTACATTCAAATCAGAGACTATTTGTGGTCGTATATTGACATCTGCCGAGATAAACAATAATATTACTAATCTGAAATGTTGGCACTAGAAAAGTAACTGTTGTTTTGTGGAAATATTGCATGCTTTAAAAGGAGTTTTGTGAGCTGAGGAAACCGATGTTACGTGATCGCTCAAAACTCTGTGTAAAACCAAAAGTAAACTATAAGGCTGTATTTGCTGTGAAAGTGAATACTGTATTTGGAAATTTTGCCAGATCTGCTGCTATATCATGTATTTCTTCAAACCTCTGTGCTTATCATAGTTGGCATAATATTTAACATTAATATTCAACATTGCTTATTATTTCATGGTACGCAATATGCTCTGCACCAATTTGAGTGTGGGATTTTTCAAGGCTATTTAACAAATTCTGTATTAATGTGTATTACTGATACTAATCTCCTTAATTCTGAAATAGGGTAGTAAAGGAAAAGGTAAGGGAAAGGGAAAAGGAAAGTCGTCTGCTCCCCCGGTGGAGGAAGAGAAGTCCGAAGAGGAAAAAGAGAGAGAACTGGGCTTCCGAAAACTAAGGTGTCTGGATGTTTTTGCTGGCTGTGGAGGTAAGTTTGCCACTCTCATGCATATGCACTTGCATAGCTATGTCATTGATTTGTTCGTAACTGGTGCAGTGGTGTGTTATGTGGGTTACAGTGAAACATGAGTAAATATGTTCAAACATACTAATCCATGTGTGTTATGACTATATGAGGAATTATGAGTAAACAATATTTAATTGAATCTTATTCCATTCATGGATTCGTTATTCCATTATACAGTTAAACCTCGATTGTCCGAACGAGACGGGGGGGAGTATTTTGTTCGGACAACTGATTGTTGGGATAACTGATGGTCTAGTTGCTTATTAAATATTCACGGGACCTTGAGATCTTGTTCGGATAATCCGAAATTCGGATAATTGATGTTTGGATAACCGAGGTTTGACTGTACATGAAATATCTTATTATTATACATCAACGAGTTATATCATTGATTTGAAAAAATATTTTTATCTGTAAAGGTTCATCTGAAATTATTAAGTGGTTATTCAAAAAATAGTGATGATAATGATGATGATTAGTAGTAGTGTTGGTGGTTGTTGATGTGGCAGCGGAAGTAGTGCGGCAGCAGCAAGAACACTTCAGTTAAAAAAGAGCATTATATGCCAGATATTCCAGTAACTATGCCTTTTCAGATTTTTCCAAAGGTGCCTGTCACTAGATGACAGAAATTCATGCCATGATATAGCATGTTTCTAGTCACTGTTTCTGTGTACTAAATTTTGGTACATTCAGAATATGGTTCCAATGTTTATGCGAATAGGTCAACGGTGTTCGTGCGACAGGATGAATGACATTTGTGGAATCAGTGATTAAATGTATATTTGACTCGGCATGTCATCATCTAGTGCCAAATTTCAAAAAGTTGCATCGTTGCTGGAACAGCTGTTCATGTTAAAAGCAGTAGTGACAGCAGCAGCAGCAGCATGAGTATTATGTGCAGTAGGTCTCACAAAGATATTAAAATACCTACCCACCTCCATTACAACAGAAATTTTTCACACGTACAGGTCTGTCTGAGGGCTTTCATCAGGCAGGCATTGCTGAGAGCAGGTGGGCAATAGAAGTGTTTGAGCCAGCAGCACAGGCATTTAGAATAAACAATCCAGGCTGCACTGTGTTCACTGGTGACTGCAATCTCCTGTTAAAGCTGGCCATGGAGGTAAGCACTCTTGGAGAAGCACCTTGCTTCTCTTGGGTTTTATGTCAACCAAATTTAGGTCCGACTATTACACCTGTTCACAATCTTAAATTCATCCTTTGAAAGCAAATCTTTACCTTATTTATACTACAATCGGGCCTTGCATTTTTTATGCAAGGCTATATGATTCCGTTTTTTAACCAAAACCAATAGCAAATTTGGTTCACAAATGGGTTAATTTTTCACTAAATACAAATAACTGGGTACCAAACCTGACAAATGTCCAGATTAAACCCTGTTCTTGGTTGAAGATTAATTGTGTTTTTTAACAGTTATTAGTCAATTCATTGCCATTATATTCCTAACTTTGAAAAGGAAGGTGACTGTTACTCTCATGTTAGTATGAATCCCAAAGTTCAGTCAATAATTTTTGTCTAGATTGTGTGAAATTGTTTGGTGCTCTACGTGGCTGTATGCATGTGATTGGCTACTTAGGGTGAGAAGACCAATGGCATTGGGCAGAGACTGCCACAGAAGGGAGACGTAGAACTGCTGTGTGGAGGTCCCCCCTGTCAGGGTTTCAGCGGCATGAACAGGTTTAACTCGAGGGAATACTCCATGTTCAAGGTAAAACGTACAAGGATTAGTATAGACTCGTTAACAATTAATGGTAGTAATTATGGTGGCATAATTTTCAGTCACAGTATCAGAATTTACTGAAATGTACAGTTTACTGTCGGTTAGTGGCCATCTTTACAGAATGGCCACCTGTTCATAGATCCATAAAAAGCTCCCATGCTTAAGAATATTTGTGTTATACTGTTATAATATTGTTGAGAAGAGGAGTAAACCTACTCAACCTGGCCAAGTACCTCTGTGGCGGCCAAATCGCCCGGAGTCTTCCGTGAGCTCGTGCAATAAACGAAATAGACACAGGAATTACTGGATACAGTCTCTTTATTGTGTATTTGCCATCAATTAAGACCCAATACAGCTCAAAATTTCAGTCAAACGTCCATCAATTCTATCTAGTATCCGTAAATCTGCAAACGTGTACAAAAAACGTAATAAACAAACTGACAAGTAATAGAAAATAATCCTTTGACTTACTCCTTTACATAGACCTCACTGAAAGTTCGCAAACTCAGCCAAACGACTAGCCTGATATCAATATGGTGTTTCACCATTACGTGTACAAACAACAACAAATGACAATAAACTAATATTTCATCCAGAAATATCACCCACAAACACAGGGATTGTGTAGAGATATTGCTAGGCTAAGCAACAACTCACAAGTTCACTGATCAATATCTAAAGGCCAAAAACTGGCTAAAATGCCCCTTCTACAGTGTGGGTTTCAGTAATAGTGGACTATGCGCTACTGCCACCTACTAATGCCTGCATGAACTAATCAAACTATCAAAGTTTCTGGCCAAACTTTGCACAGTTTTCAAACGTCTCTCACAGAAAAAGTATACAGTTTTAAACAGTACAAATTACATCAGTATGGTCTCTAGACATTACTATTTCTCTACATCAACTAAATTACCTCTTATGTCATCCACGTTCTAAAACACCAGCGTTCAAAGCGGTCATCTGGAACGAAACTGTACCTCACATGCTCACAATGGCAAAAGCACGGATTCTCAGAAATAGGGTTCCACTGCGCACAATGAAATTCGGAATCGAGAGTAGCCCGAAAGGAGATTTAGGAATTGGCATCCACAACCTCTTAACTTTTAAGCGGGCTCCAACTCTACATAGCGGTTACTTCTCAAGTTTTTGTCTCAGGCTATCAGCATTCGCATATATGCTGTGCAGTCCGGCTGAAGAAAGTTATGATGACGACGACTTATTAATGACGATAATAGTATTGACACTGATGGTGATTAATTTACTGATGGTTAACCTGGTTTGGAATAGAAATCTGTAATTTTGTCATTCTGGGAATGACGTTTTTATTTATTATCTCTGTATGTGTGCTCTAGATAGCAGAAACAGAACTCTGTTGATATAGTCCAAGAGTGTAGAGAATCATCCCCTTCTTTCTCTTCTACCTTCTCCTGTCATTCATCATAGTTCTTCCCTCCATCGTTTTCCTCTAAACTTTCACCCTTATCAACTTTCTCTCTCTTCTCAACCTCTCTTTCTCTCTATAACCCTTCTTCGCCCATTCCACCTCCATCTTCTTCTCCTTTTCTATTCGACTTTTCCCTACCAATTCATCCTTAGCTCCACTTATACTATACCCAGTATACCCATAATCGCTTTTCTTATACACATTCACAATTCGCAGATATAGCTAAAAATGCACGGCACAGTTTACAAAATTTCCACAATGAAATCAGAGCCTCTCACAATATATTTTAAACAAAGACTGGTTGTGTGCGCAGTGCCGGTTGATAGTGTGAAATTTGGTCACAGTGAATCTATTCGTTAGAAGATGTGAGTAGTAATCTGTAGGAATTATGTGAGGACCTTTCATTTCTTGCTTTTCGAGTTTTTATACTTTTATATCTATAGATTTAGAAGTTTGGGAGGACAAGGTCTAAGTAGTTAATTATGTCAATTCATTGAAAATGTTGCTTTTGCTGTTTTTCTTTGCAGAATTCACTCATCGCATCCTACCTAAGCTACTGTGACTACTATCGTCCGAAATTCTTCCTCTTGGAGAATGTCAGGAACTTTGTATCATTTAAGCGCAACATGGTACTGAAGCTGGCTCTACGTTGCCTTGTGCGCATGGGCTACCAGTGTACATTCGCAGTGCTGCAGGCGGGCCAGTACGGAGTGCCACAGACACGCCGCAGGTATCATTATCGCAACCACCGACATATTTACTAGCCAACTGTATGTGAAGCCGTGTGCTACTTTGTAAAATTCAAAAATTGCATGCAGTACAGTGTTCTCATTAGGAACCGGCCACCGGCCGAATTGACCGTCTACTCTGTAATTGGCCAGTTACAATTGGCTCAAGCAAGTATGATATTAAAAAAATAAAAAAACAAAATTTTTTTATTTGCATTTAGTTTGTTCTAATTATTCTCCAAAGTGAAAGTGTTTTATGAGCTACTACTAATAAATCAGTTGAGTATATTTGTATGCATGTTATGTGCACAAGAAGCATTGTTTTGTTTTTGAGTAACGCTATTCACGTATTTAATTGTTTAACTCTTATAATTACTAAATCGTCATAATTTGGAAACTTTTGGTGAACTCTGAATGTACCAGGAGAAACCAAATTGGAAAAAAGGACCATACTGTAATCCAAATGTGTCTGTTTACTGCAGCTCAGAATACACCAGATTGCATCTCAGAGCATCTAGGTTTAAAAAAAAAAAAATTCCCGAACACCCCGCCCGCACTCTTCCACGGCCTGTTGCAAAAGCATTTCGGCCTGTTGCTATAAAAGATAATGAAAACCCTGACAGTAGTATTATGTTAATGCGTTTGCACATGGTGATGTTAGCTTGGTGATTTTCAAAAGAAATCAAATATGTTTAATCGCTGATAGTGATTAATGATTCATTGGGTTACTTGCATGCTATATTGCAGAGCAATCATACTAGCTGCTGCACCAGGAGAAAAACTACCTTTCTACCCAGAACCCTTGCATGTGTTCTCTCCCAGAGCTTGTCAATTGTCTGTCATGGTTGATGATAAAAAGGTAAGTAAGGGAGACTGGTTATAGACATGTGTACAATATTTACTGGCTCATAAGGTGCATTAGATGCACCCAGAATAGTGGCACCTCCCTCCTTCATACTTACTCTAATACCATAAAATAATAGTCTATACCTATTGAATATTCTCGTGTATAAAATGTCTCTCTTGAATATCTCAACATAGAGAGCAATACCTGCACTGTCTGAATTGATTCTGTACCAACAAAACTGTTCTTTGGCATAGTGATACACTTGAGCATTCCCAATGACGTCAGGCGTTGACGTCATTCAGCAGGGATACGCATCTCAGAATTTCTCAAGAGATTAATAGATTAGCCAAAGTTGAGCACCAACCACTAGGTCTGAATTCCGCCTTGGCTGCGGGTTCCACATAAATAGATGTCGTGTGACATAAATACAGTAACGTAAAATGTTTTGTGATAAGAAAGTTACTTAATATAATGATCTGTAATGTTCCATGTCTTTTGCATCGAATACAGCATAATGTCAAGATGTCACCCTCTTCAAAGGCCAATGACACTGAAAACAATCTGTTTAATTTAGTAGCATATTTAGTATCTGCAATTTACCTTCACCCCCCTCCCATTTCCATCAATTCATGTCGAAGGCTTTGCTGTTGTGTGTGTGTGGGGGGGGGAGGGGGGTTAATTTTTTGATTGTAATTAAGGCACTATTACAGCTTGCAATTGCTGCATCTGGCATCAAAGGCTAATGATGTCATATTCTTTTACTTAAATGCATAATGTTGACAACTTGCACAAAAAACAATTGTATTGGTAGAGGATGCATGTAGAAATCTTCAATGTATCTAAGTCACTGGGATTCACCCTAATGCTGCAATGAAACATTACCTTTGTCCCACAGTTCAGCTCAAACATCACATGGACACAGTCTGCAGTGTATCGGACGATTACTGTCAGGGATTCCATGAGTGATCTTCCGCCAATTAAGAATGGAGCCAAAAATGATGAGATTGCCTATAATGGGGAGTCACAGTCACATTTCCAAAAAATGGTAATGATTTAAAGGGAGAGTTTACTCTAGGTTCTAGGGTTATTTTCAGCTAATTTAGGTTATAATTGCGCTACATAAAAAGTTTCATGGTTCAATCACCATTAGAAATATTATTAAAAAATGTTTTAAAACTAACGACTACAGTTTGATTACAACGGCGGTGGCGCCACTCAAAGCGCATGATCTGATAAGTTGCGCAAAACCACTTTCCAACCAAGGGCTACAGACCGAGGGTGTTTCTTATTTATCCATTTAAAAGCAAAAGGATTGTAATATCTTATAAACGACATATAGTTTCAGTTAAGGTTTTTTGGTTATATCTTTACTCAATAATATAGAGCTACATACAGCCGTGCCTGAGTAAATGATGGTAATATTTCATGGTTTATTTACCACACAATGGATTTGTTCAGTGAATGGGAAACGCGAACTACGTATAATGAAATGTGATGCATGTTCGTGTGAAATTCTGCTTGATCAACGTTTTAATTCCAAGAGAAAGCGAATACTTCATACTTCATTATATGCGGTATCTACGTGACTATATAGACAGAATATATGGGTCTATAAATCTATGCTAAGATAACCCCTCTTCATTATAAATTTATAACGTTTGCAAAATATTATTATTCTCGCGAGATATTGCGCATGCGCGAGCACCGTTTCAGACGTGCAGTACGGCCAAAGGAAAAGTACGTATATATAGCTTGCCGAGGGAGAGAGGGGTGGAAAACTAAAGGAAGGTGGCAGGGAAGACAGTCGAGGGGCGGTAGAAAAAGAGGGAGGCTGGGTGTGCGACAAGGGAAACAAGGGAAAGGGCCTGCGGGAATGAAGTAGGAGTTTTGCACCCTGCAGTCTAGGGCGCATTCCTAATTATAAACACAGGTCTACTGATAAGAATTTATTACAGAAACCTCTGCTGAGATACACCCTGACCATACTAAATGCATTTTAATCACAACATCAAACTCCTCTGGTAAGATATTGCGCATGCGCTAAACAGTAACGTAGCCATGTTATGTACTTAATGGTATATACAGCGGGAATCTTACATGCAAGGTCTGCTTCCTATTCTTAAATGATGTCTACTGATGGAATTTTGGCATATCAATCTATGCTAAGATGACCCCTCTTCATTTTAAATTCATAATTTTTGTAAAATTTTATAATATTCTTGGGAGATAGTGCGAATGCGCGAGCACCGTTTCAGGCGTGCAGTACGATCTAAGTAATAGTACGTAATATATACGATATGTACATATAATATATATACGAATGTACATATCTACCACAGATATCAAGAGCTACTGTAGAGCTAGCGAGAGTGAGAGAGAGAAAGAAAGAGTAATTATGTAATCACTTTATATAATCGTCGTTTAATGCAAATATTCAATGTACAAATTCCATTTCCTGCGAGAAATTCAGGCGAAGTCTTACTGAATGAAATTACAGTGCGTAAATATATATGTGGACATAAAGATGCATAGATTAAGATTATGTAATATATCATGATATCAGAGAGGTGGCTCGTGAATGTAATTATGAAACCTGATTGGAAATCAGTTAAAATCGCATCAGGCATAATTATACAGACAGTGCTACTATTACAAATTATCAGTCTCTAATCTCTGAGGCCGCTGCCGTCTGCTTTGACTCCCGCGACTGTGTGCTCTGGCGAGGAGGCTGCCCTAACGTGCCCGCAGGTCTTCGTGGGCTTTTCTGTCGCTCGTGGGCGGGCTGCCGCTGCCAGGACGCACGTGTGCGGACTTACGTGGACGACGGGCCAACGAACGTCGCGCTGGTAAACGCGCTGAGTTTGCCAGGGCTTGTCTCTCCGCCTTCGCCCCTGCTCAACCCCCCTCCCAGCGCGCTGCCTGCCCCTCGCCTGGCCGGCGCTCGGCTGACCGACGGGGGCGACGGGGTCCCGCACGAGACCGCCCGCCCCCCGCAGCGCCGTGGCCGACCGATGCGGTCTCGGCATGTCTCGGCCGCGTCGCGCAACACCAGCGACGCCACTGCTGGTCGGTCGGCGGCGCCGCGGCGAGCGAACGTCACCTCGAGGCGCGGGCGGGACGGCGCGTGCGACCGGCGGCCGCCGCCAGGCACCGCCCGCGCGCCCACCGTCCCGCCGACACCGCCTAAGCGTCGCACCGCTCAGAGCGAGGTGGCTGCCGCCCTACCGGCAGCACTCGCTTCCGCGCAACGAAGGGAACATTCTTCTCGCCAATTGGAAGGAGAGAAACTGAACATTACGACAGGAAGTCGAGTCGGGGAAAGATAATTGTTATTTCGAGAGGG